CTCCTTAAGGGGAGGTGCCGCAGGGCTGGCTAACTTAGTGGAACCTATTTTTATATATATATGTTTTCGCCCTCTTGAGGTTTCTGTGCCCGTGCTGATCTAGGAGTCTCTTTCAGTCTGTTCAAAGCTGCGAGTTTTATTCCTTTCCCCAGGACAGGGGGAAAGCGGAGTGTGCTCTCACCGGTGGGGAGTTGCCTCTCCTGCCCCAGGTCTGCTTTGTAAACCCTCGACAGAATGTTTGGGTTTGCGTGCACTTGGTTTGTAAACACTGCGCGTTCTCTCCAGGTGTTTGTCTTAGGCCAAGTTTTCAGTCTATTTCCTTTGACTTAAAAAGCTGTTTTGGAAAGGAGTTGCTTGGTGAAAGTAGCAAACCTACAAAATAATAACATGTTGTAGCAAACCTACAAAATAATAACATGTTGTAGCAAACCTACAAAATAACATATTACTGAGCGTAATTTTCACACAGACAATAAATTCCATAGGTCTGTGTTTTAACTGTCATCAAACTTAACTGGCTGAACTTGATTTAATGACGTGACATTAGAACAATATTTACCAGCTGAAAAACAGGACAGGGAGAGGTGTTACACTGTTGCAACCTTTAAAATAAGCTCTGTATCTGTGATACCCCTGCATGGTCTGGCAATTTTGTTTTTAAACTTCATCAACAATGTTACCGTTACACTTGACTGAATAGGGTTGCTACAGTTTAAAACTTTTAAAGGCCTTTGTGATGAATTAGGTGTGCCCGCAGTCAGGTGTCAAAGCTCGGTGAGCATGCATTTATTGGTCAAGATATGGTGATTTGGTCATTTATCCCTCATCAGACAAGAGTAACTCAGGATCTGGTATCGTTACAGTGTGAGTGTCCTGAAGTTCAAGAGCAGCTGCAGGTCACGCACGTGTACTTAGTGTCAGACCACTAGCTGTGATTCTTGTAACACAGTGTGCTGTCACCGTGAGCTAACTGCATGATTATTATAAGAAGGAAAAGTTGTTTATATTGTGTGTAAATTCCTGTTGGTACTAGATTTATATTTAGTGATTATTTGCATGTGTTATTCAGTAATACTGTCAATATTTCCAGCTTGGATAGCTGTCAATTTGTTCATTTTGAGGTAATCCCCGCCTGACTCTTAACATGGTTATTATTTTAAAGTATTTAATGAAGGATAAGATTTTAATATCCAACCCGATTTCAGCACTTTGGGTATTTTAAGACCTTGTTTATGTACAGTATAGTGATTCTGTTAAAGTGATTTAAGTGAATAAAATACCCGAATTAGATGTGATGCTATTATCACTCATATTAAATAAATAGTCTGCTAGTAAAGGCCTTTGGATAAATATTATCTGTCCAAAACTGCAATTGCTGTGTAGAAATCTAGCCTTGTTTACGTTACTATTAGACAAGAGTTTTAGAAGAGTGTTTTTGTAATTTGAAAACTTTCTGATGTATTTTATACTAGTATCTGATACGTTCTTTTTTGCTTCTTTCTTTCTTTCTTTTTCCTGCCAAGGGTCGCCATCTTTTTGAGGCATTTTCTTAGTCTATTATGTTATTCTTCATCAACTTTTGTTCTTTGTATTGTAAGCAATAAAACTTAGATTGAAAGTCAAATGTTTATTTGATTTTTTAATAGACTCCAGTGCTCTCTGGTTAGTCACTTTTCCTTCAGGACTGTGCCAATACAGAAGCTTGATAACATCCAGCAGCAGTTTTGACCTATCTTAAACAAGGGATTGACATGTTGGGTTTTTTTATGGAATGCAAGCCATTTTCTGAACTGTGTTTTCTAAATGCTTAAACAATTTACTGTAAAAATTGGATTGCATTATATAAAAACTGTTAGGCAATTTTTTAAAATCTGAAACTTTTCTTTTCCTACAGCCATCTGGAAGAAAAAACACAGTGGGAACATCCTAAGTCTGGGAAGAGGAAACGTGTTGCAGGAGGTTTGTATAAGCTTTTGTAATGAACTGAAATTATGTTACAAACATCAGTTGGGCTTTGTGCAGGAAATAGATCCCGTTTTGATCTCCTAGTTGACACTAGTCACCTAGGCGAACTGAGCTTTCAAGATAGAGCTGGCTTCAGTGGGGTTTTACCTGTGTGATTGTATTTGTGTGGAGTGATTATTTTGCAGATTAATGGCTTTCTTTTGCTCCATAAAGCCAAATTACTGATTCTAGGATAAAGGGATTGTGGCTTGCAAATCATTTAGTCAAAGGCTGGAATTCTCAGAGTGGACTCTGACATTCCCAGATGTCCATCATTTAATATTTATAGTTGGATTATGTGATCAGAGCATATATTTGGCACAGAAGGAAGTACCATTAGTTTTCTTTTTACCTGTTTTCCATAACCCAATTGAATGTTTGTGCCAGAAGAGAAGATAGCCGGTGTTGCAGATTCCAAAGGTCTCTGGCCTCTTAAGGACCTTGGATTGGATTGGTGCCTTAAGTTTGACCTTCCCAGAAGCTTCTGTGTGGCGTACCTGGGGGTACTGTACTCTTGGCAAGCCGTATTTCTTTTGACATTGGTAATGTGACTATAACTGGAATGTTTTCAGTAGATTTTGAGCCAATTGAATTATAACTGAATACTTTTCAGCCAGGATTAGAAATGATGGGAATGCTATCTGTTAAGTGCTTACATATGGTCTTTTATTTAAGAATTTCCTTGTTGAAGATTTGTAATTTTTGTTCTTTTATCTGTCCTTCCAACTGTGATTTAATGTATCCCATACCCATTTGAGGGTTATGATCTTCTGACTTTTGGTATGTGCTATATGTAGATTTTCCTACATTTAGTTCAATGTTTTTGTAATTTAGTGTATCAAGGATAGGTATTAAACTGCGCGTATATACGTATATGTACTAGGAAGCATGGTTTTAAGTGGTTGTGTTTTACTGGTTTGAGCTATGACATGAAATGATTTGTACAAAGAATTTTTGGGTTATACTTAATATACTAGTCCTTACAGTTGTACCAGATCTCCTGTGTGTTATTCTCTTATTAGAGAACCCTTTTTTCAAGTTACAATATTCAAGTGCAGCAGGTAGCTGCACAGATATAGTGCAGAATTTTGCGACATCTCTCTGATAAATCACTTAAACCTCAAATCTGAGTGTGCCTGTTTTATGTGTTTCCTAGGTCTGCCATATGGATGGGAACAGGAGACTGATGAAAATGGACAAGTGTATTTTGTAGAGTAAGTATGTCAAAATGTAGAATTCCGACAAGTAGGAAAACTGTGTTTCATGTTGAGTAGCATTTTTTGGGTTATGATACTGTGACAATATCAGCTGGAAAGACAAATAAATTAGTAAGGACAACTTGCAAATCCATATACAGAGTTGTGACAGTGTCTAAACTAAACTAAAACTTGGTTTTAGAATGGTGAGCCTGACCCAAATGGTGCCATTTGCTGAGCTGATGTAAAGCTACTTGTTTTCAGCTGTTCGAGAGAAAAGTACTGAGCTACATTTCTCATTGGTTTATTGTTCCAAGGGACTAGTGTAGGCTCCTTTTATAGAGTTCCTAAGAGAACGTGATGTTCCCTAGTATAATCAGATTTTTTCCCTTGACAAAATTCTGCTTTCTGTATGAGGGGTTCACATGAAGTTCATAATGACGTTTTGAAGTATGTGAATACAATTATTAATGGACACTGTCACAAGTAGAAAAACACTTGATAAGAAAGTAATTCAGATCACTTTAGCAAAACTGAAAAAAACCCCTGATTTCTGAGAATTTCAATAATCCACTGGAATAGTACACAACAGTGGTTGAAATACATTTTAAATATAAATGCAGAGTAGAGAAAGGTCCAAGCAGTTGAATTTCTGTGTTCTTTTGCAGCCACATAAACAAAAGAACTACCTACCTTGACCCAAGGCTGGCCTTTACAGTCGAAGATAATCCAGTAAAACCTACTACTAGACAGAAGTATGATGGAAACAGCACTGCAATGGAAATTCTCCAAGGTCGTGACTTAAGTGGGAAAGTGGTTATCATCACGGGTGCGAATTCAGGAATAGGTAGGTAACCATTACATGTAAGGTAAAATATGGCAATATTTATCTTGCCATCTGCTTTGTTGTTTAAATATCTGTGTACTTCTGTTATTCAAACTTCGCTTGTACTATTTGCGTATAAAACCTCTAGTTAGAAAACTTTATTCAGGTTGTGTACTGCTTTTAGTTCAAACTCCTTGATGTTGTGTGAAGGGAACAGCCCCAAAAGACGTTAGATAATAGTGTTCTTGTCCAATTGATTTGGACATAAATGGCAAAATTTGAAGTTTTCTTGAAGCTGTTGTATGTGACTTTAAAACGTATCAGTCTTAACTGTTAACCATACTTTGACTCGTGGCAAACTGCTTTGAATGTGTCAGTAATGGATTGCACGGCAGAGACTGCTGTGAGCTTTAATATGTCTACACAATTCTTTGGGACTCCATGTGGAAATACTAATTAGGTGGCTCAAGTGGAGGCTTACCAGTTTTGGAGCTTATTCCCTGGTTATTTTAAGATGTCAGTGCTGTGCTCGAATTTGTGTTGTAGATACTTCTTTTAAACTCTTGATGTATTTTGGAGGAAATATTTCCTTCCCCAACTATTTTGAGGACTAAACGATTACTGTGTTGTCATAACACTAAGCTCCTTTCTTTCAGAGGTAAGTGCAAATATTTCCAAGGAAATATTGCTGTCCATTATGTAGAAAGTGATTGAAAAAGAACTTGTTAAGTACTCACTTGTACACCTAATGATGTAAGGAAGAAAAAATCACTCAGCTCATTGTCAAAATTAGTTTCATTGGTATGTTTGAAACTAACTTCATGGTATCTGTACGTTCATTGAGAAATTTTTCATTTTGAGATGAACAGAACAAAGATCAAGGTGTAAGTTGATAGGCTGCAATCTGTCAAAATGCAGAAAAATGCATTTTCAATTACTGCATTGCTGGATGCCAAAGATAAAGTTTGAAAAATGCTGAGAAATCTTTGGCAGATGGATGAGCCTACAAGTTATGCTTTTATTCATCCAAGTACACCACTTTAAGATAGAAAAGTTAAAAACAGATCGACAAAGATGGTACAGTATATTAAATTTACTTTAGTTGTGAATCTAATACAGGGAATTCAACATAGCTTGCCAGGAACATTTTTAGTTTTTAGTTTCTTACAGCTGAAAAGTCTTCTCAACTTCTGACAAATAGAGATGCTTAATTACTGAGAGAATACTTTGGATGACTTGGGTGGTGGTAGAGTTCTAGTGGTATCACATGTGTTGGCTTCTCAAATGTTACTTCATTGTTGTTAATTTCTATTAACATGTCTCTAAATGGAGGAGACTGTCCGCTCTATGGTTTTGCTTTTCATTAGTGATTAGGAATACATACTGCAAAAATTGTGTAGATTATATATCCACTTTCTTAATTTAGTCCTTAAAATTGCTGCAAAAAGCATGGGTAAAAAATGTAGTAAAAATCAGGTTTATAAACATTTTAGTTTTCATTAGCAACTTGGTAAAAGTTAATGAATTATTCTGTTCTTACAAAATAAAGAGATCATAGCAGATCAAGCATTATTAGTAAAATGCTTTCTTTTCTCTTTTTTTATTGTGGGAACATTTTCCTCTGGCAGTGCACTCCAATTTTTTGGATTTTTTTCTCATCTATTTTTTAAGCTTAATCAAAATTGTAGTCCGAAGATCACATTAGAAGTTATGGCCACAGTAAAGCTGGTACAGTAAGAGAGATAAGATGGACTTACTGAACAGTTCAGTCTTGTGTTGGTCCTGTTTTTAAAAACTTACTGTTCTATGCACATTTAGATGTGAGTAGTGTAAATTGTTAGGGTTTTTTTTTTCTCTAAAAGTCAGTAAGACTTATTCCACTGTGAGGAATGAAAGATAAAGTGTGCAATTTTGTGCATGTGTTGTTTTTCCTGTTTTAAAGGTCCCGACATGAGTTAAGTTACAAAGAGGGTGCCTGCGCTTCCCTAGCCTGCTGCTTGTATGGATAAAGTCTTGCTTTCTAATCTTTCCACTAGAGGGCTGTGTTGCTCTTTGAAAATACTAAACAAAAGAGACCTGGTGCTTTTCCCTGTTTCTAGTAAATGCCCTTCTAATTTTGTTGTTCGCATTCTCAATTTTTAGGACTAGAATTCAAAATTTTAAAAAGCATGCCAGCTGTTCACCTAGGTTTAATGTTATTAAGAGATGTGATATTTTCCGCTTGCACGTTTAAGCAATCTCAAATCCCACAAATTTTTAAAAAATAATAGTACTTGGTTTTAATATTGGGTAGCGGGTAGATAGTTATGTACCTTGTGGTTTTCTATGACTTTTATAAATATTTCTGTCTGGTTCTGAGGTTCGTATAGGTATATGACCTTGAAACTACAATGTGTTCTGTTTTCTGTAATGGGTACACTTGCATCTAACCTATTGTGACTGCTACAGTGTGCATGAGTCACGAAATGTTACTAGTATTGCAGTGTTATTAGGAAAGTGCAGAACATATATGTTCTCTGCAGTCAGGCAGATTCCACAAAGTAGGGTTTTTCTTAATGCTTTTCCAAGATGTTATCACAGAACTGTGTTGATAATCACAATCAAACCATTGCTTAAACCACACTTCAGATTTTTCTGCTCTGTGAAGTTCTGAAGAAATCTGTTAATTGCTTTTATAAGGGATGTCCAGAATAAGCACAAATTATCTCAAGAAAACGAAAACCACTTTTGGAAATGAGCAGCTTAATTTTTTTTTTTTTTTAAATGCTGAAGAAAATCCAGAAGCTGCAGTCATAATGTAGTTTGTTATATTGCTCTTCTTATGTTTTACCAGAGTAAAGCATGTACTTTAATAATTGTGGAAATTATGATTTCTTCAAAATAATTATTGGTTAATGTTTGGTTAAATGGCATTTTTTTTTCCCCCTCTGTTTTATTGCTATGCAGCAGGAAAGTTATATATTGGGTACTTTTAATCAGTACTTAGAAGATAAATCACTGCTCCAGCGAGCTTTTGTTCCGCATATACTTCTGGTCTGAGAAGTTACTGTATTTCTTTTATTTCCTGTGCAGAACTTCACTATTAGCAACTTTTGTCATACTGATTCAAAAGGTTGGGAAATGTACTTATAATTTATCATAAATAAACAGCTTTTTAAATCAAAGAGCAGATGTTTTGAATAACTGTCCCTTTAATTTATAAATGGTAAGCAGAACTTTTTCTGTTTTATTCCTCTATCATAGGTTTTTTTCTCTTAGTGACTTATGCTGTAAGTGTAGGAAGCTAGCTTGATATAGTAATAAAAAAAGATTATTGAAAAATTTGTGTGAGTTAGATTGTAGCCTATCACGTTTTTAAACCCTAGGTCTGATTAAGTTAAAACTAAAAATGATTAGTTCATTTTATCAGAAGATGACATATTTAATTAAAATGTGTTTTTATAAATGAAGGTAACACAAAACAACCTACTTTTAACTACTAGAACGTGGTTAGCAGCTGTATTCCTTCATCCTTGCTTTTTAAATTGATTTATGCTGCATCCATAGGTGATTTGCATCCCCTAAAAATGTAGCCATTGCTTGATGATCAGGTATATGAAATCGAGGAAGGACTTAGAGCTAAAACTCTGTTTTGAGTTGAACTATCAGATTAGAGCCTAGGCAGCTTTTGAAATTCATTGTGTGATTAATGAACTGGATTCCCATTATCAAACGTCATAGTTAGTTGCAGTGAGGATTTGTATATAAACACACAAACATAACTGAACGTTATGAATCGTAGAAGGTAAAATTTTGCTAACGGCTAACTTGATAATTTACTTGGTATTAGTCATCGTGGTAACATGTAGATAATCAGATTTTGTTCACACGTGGTGGTTCTTTTGTGATAAATACAAATTATGTAGCTCTGCAATTTATTGTGTGCCTCTCACTGTATCTATCATCTGCATCTAATTCAGAAATGTCTCTCCTGTGGGACATGATTTGAACACTTCGCATCTGTGAGAAGGGTAGAATGGCTGCCCCTATTAAATCATCGTGCTCCCAAAATACTAGAAACTTTTTTGTATCTTTTACTGGAAAACACCCGTAAAGTTTCAAAGGTTGGGAACGTGGGATTAATGACATTAATGCTGGAACAAATAGCATCTAGGATTTGATACTGTCAGGGTGGAAGTAGAACTTTAAACTCTTGACAAGCTGTGAATCCTTCCTTTCAGTAAGCATAAAGTGCTTACATTAATTCAGAAAGATCCCAAGTTACTTCTTTTTCTGCTGTCCTTTTATTCTGTTAAAAAGCAAGTTATTTTTTTGGTAGCTTTTTACTTTTTTCACTTTATTTCAAAGCAGTACAAAAAAGTAAACCTGTACAGAAATGATGCAGTGCACATGGCCAGACTGCTGTGCGTTTACTGCCTGCTTTTGTACTTTGTACTGGTAGAAGCTAATGAGAGTTGGTTTTACTGGGAGTCTGAAATCCTAAAGGATTTTTGAATTCCTGATTTCTGAGCTATTGTTTCTGCGTGTCGGGTAGTAGTGTTTGAGCATTTCCTATATCAGTATTGTTCAGAACCTTTCTTGTAGCTAGAAAGCAGAATCTACCTTCAGAGCCTTGGTAGAGGCAGGTGTGGTCAGCTTTTGTTGCATTTCTTGTGCCAGTTGAGTAATAGCAGACTGAGTAGTGGCTATTTAAGCTACTACCCAAAAGAGGAGCAAAATGAAGCTTTTAAAGCTTATCTAAATTTTTCCTGAAGATCACCTAAGGTCTGGAGTAGATGTTGGTTGCCTTTCACCACTGTGCCCTGTGTCTATTGACGATGGAGAGATAGGAAAAGTTTGACTAAAAAGAACACCTTTACTTCTTCAGAAATCCAAAATTGGCTGCTCTGTACCTGCAGAAAAGGGAATTTTATAAATATGGGGAACTGTACTAGTTGCAAAGTTACTGAGGTTATTTGTGGGCGACATAGCAGTTTTACTGAGGCTGGCTTTATCGGCCTTCACAAAGAAGGTAACATTTG